CCCCCCCCCCCGCTCCCCCCGCCCACGCTCAAACGTTACTCTCGACACAAAGAAATCAAGATCGTTTCACATGTGTTTGGCATGATGAAGCCTCTGGCACGTTTTGACGACACTCACCCTCCTCCTTTGGGATAGTTTACCCTCCCTTGACGCCCGTGCTACCCGGACTATTTGGCGGAACCCCGCCGTCCCCCCCCCGTGCCAGTAGTCTAGAGGCGCAAAGTTTTTCGTGGCATAAAACTTGCGACTCGCACGGTCCGTGAACCTCCCCCCCCCCCCCCCCCCCCCCCCCCCCCCCCCCCTCACATCCCTTGCGCGCACATGCGTGCTGGCCGCGCAAAAAGTCACGGCGCTCATTTCTTCCGCAACCAACCCCTTGCGTGCTTTATCTATGCCAAAGTAGGTTCCTCCATTACAACTTCGTGTGCGCGCTCCTGAACGACCTGTTCGGCGTCCAGTCGAGGGGGGGGTGCCAGTGCGCGGGTCCCTACAGCCAGCTGCTGCTGGGGCTGTCCCTCCCGGACACGCGGGCGGTGGAGGCGGAGCTGCTGCGCAAGCACGAGCTGCTGCGACCGGGGTTCTCGAGGCTCAGCCTGTCGTACGTCAACTCCGACAGAGAGGTGAACGAACAGAAACAAGTCTGGTTTTTGTTAGGAAAAGAACGGAAAGGAGCGCAAGCAAGTACCATTGTTATGTGAGGAAGAGAAAGGAAACGTGGTTCGATTGTTGCTGGTACAGTCGTTGGGCGCTGCTTCTCTCCGACACTCTAGCTGTGGACACAGTAACATGTCGTTGTTGTCGCTGAGACGCAAGAACTTTGTTTCCACTCGGCTCCTTCCTTCCGCAGGCAAAGTACATTCTGGACGCGGTGTTGTTCGTGGCCGACCATGGGGCGTCTTTCCTGCCGTACTACCGTGTCAATTACAAGACCGGGGAGTGGAAGCACAAGACGAGGTTCACCCGCTTCCCTGAGAGAAGGTATGTTCTGGTGGTGGTGGTGCCGTTGTTGTTATCGTATTCCGTGCTTCTTCTTCTCCAATCCTAACCGAAAACCGACTCTGCGCTTGCCACGCACAATGATAAAATGTAGGACAGAGAAACCTTCGACCTGTGAAAGCTCCCGGATCCTCGTTTGCTTACATCGCCCCACACACTCACGATCCCCAGATGGCTGGGCAACTGCGATTACGGGTTCGCTCCGAGGAGAGGGGCTGTCTCCAACGGCAGCCGTGTCGCCGCGACCCCGGCGGTGACGCCGAAGACGCCGTCGGCTGCGGCGACTGAGGAGGACGAGGAGATGGAGGCAGGAGTTGCACGGGAGGGGGAGGCGAAGATGGAGAAGGAGATGAAAGGCATCTTCGAGGACGCGGAACGCCATCTGAACGAGGCGGAGGCCCGCGTCGGCGAAGAGAGGTGGCAAGGGTAAGTAAGCGTCTCGATGAGGGGAAGGCACATCAGTCTGTTGAGGTACGGGTGCTGGTTTTCTCTCCATTGGGTTATTTTTTTTCGCCGACAGGGAGGAGGTTCCGACGGCGGAGAAAACAGGAAACCGACCCGTGAATCGTTACCGGTGAGCGTTTCGTCGCTGGTACAAGTCTCCCCATGTCGGCATCTTGAGGGGCCGACGACGAGAGATGTGGGGGCGGTTCGCACCTAACCTTTTGTGGGGTCGTCCCCACATAAACCGCTGCCGCCAACACCACCATTACATGGTTTTGATGCCGTTTTCGCAAAAGGCTTTCTCCTCATGCTGGCAAAACGTTGACGTTTGATTATGGCGTCATTGTTCGATTTGTCTCTTAGCAAAGAATGATAGCTAAATTTTGCGGGAGCGGTTCCATTTTGCTTTTTGGCCACACGGTTTCTTTGTTCCGAGAAGCACGATTTTCCGTTTCATGTTGGCTACCGTGAAACGTTTTTTCGTATCGGTTTCACTTTTTTTTGGCAATGATTTCGTGTCTACCAGGTCGGACGACGTACTCGGACCCGAAGGCGAGGCACTGCGCTGGTTTCTATACCCCTGGGAAGGCGGTAGCGGTGGCGTTCCCTCCTCCCCTGGCGACGTAGCAATGCCCAAGAGCGGAGGGTGCATCGTGAAGCCCAAGGTGTACAGCGGCGTTGCCGCTGACGCGGCGGCGGGGGCGACGGTGTCAGGCGCTTCGCTCCAAGAAGATGGGGGCTGTAGTGGCGATGCCGTAGGAACGGCGGCATCTCCAGTGGCTGCCCGGGTGGGACCAGAGAACGGACGTAAGGCAGCGGCACAGAGCGATCCGGTTTTTGTAAAGGCGGAGGCCGCGGCAGAGATAGGAACGGGGGTGGTTCCGCCTCCTCCGCACGAGGGTGGCACCAGTGGCAGCGGTGACGGCGACGAGGCGGCGGCGGCGGTTGGGGCCGTCGAGCCGGTCCCCCCGCGTCCTTCTCCTCCGGGGGGTAACGGGGAAGAGCAACATGCGGAAGATGAGTCTGCTGCTACTGTTGCGGCTGCCGCTTCGGCTGCTGCCGCTTCTGCTGCTGGGAAGGATAATGATGATGCTGCATCTCCGCGGACCGACGTCGGTGGCGATATCAACCCCGCCAAGCACCGGAATAGGCACCCGGACGACAGCCACAAGTACCCTCTTCGACAAGCTAACCGCGACAGCGGCGGCGGCCAGACAGGCGGTACTTCGCTGGCTGCGGAGACGCCCGCGTTCCTAGCATTTTCTCCCGCCGCGAACGGCATCGGTAGCGCCGCAGTTGCCGGTGGCACCGGCGACGGCGGCGGCGAAAATGGTAGCGTTCCGCACGATGCCAACGGCGAAGGTGTCGGCGGCGGTAAGCTCAAGGGGTACGAAGGGCACATGTCCGCGCTGGGGAAGCTGGGGGGGAGGTCGGCCGAGTCTAGGCTGTTCCCCACACCCGGGAAGAAAATCATGAGGGCCGTGGGACAAGCGGTGCAGGTGGGGGATTATTTTGACGCCCGGAGAACAAGAGTATCTGACAACGCCAGCCTGCGTCGCCCGTATGAGCGTGTTTGGGTTGCTTGCTACCCGTGAGCTCGGCGCTTGCCACTGAAATAACTGAACGTGTCATGCCAAGAAGAGGTACACAAGCAATGCTGCTGCTGCTGGCGTGTTGCCGTCTTGACATTGTCGCGTTTTCGGCGGCACGCTTTAAATACGAACAACAAGAGCACAAGTGCATGAAGTCTCGGAACCCCCTGCATGCCATGTCTTGTTGGCTTGACGGGCGATTCAGCCGCTCTTTGCGCGGAAAGAACGGCCTCCAACGAATGCAGACGATCCGCCCTTTTTTTTTGTGCGGCCAAAACGCAAGAGAGTGAGAGTGAGAGTGAGAGTGAGAGAGAGACAGAGACAGAGACAGAGACAGAGACAGAGACAGAGACAGAGACAGAGCGAGCGAGAGAGAGAGAGAGAGAGAGAGAGAGAGAGAGAGAGAGAGAGACAG